CAAGGGGCCGAGAGAGAGAGAGAGAGAGAGAGAGAGAGAGAGAGTCACACACCCAAACACACATACACTTGTAAACGGTCTCACCTACATCCAGATTTCACAAAGCGTGTAGGTGCTACAAGCCATGCTGGGTCACAGAAACACAACCACACTGCTGCAGCCACTTGAGAGAGAGAGAGAGCGATTTAACAACGCTTACACGCTCATAAAAATACCATTAAGACGCAGACAGCATCGCCTCACTAATGACTTTAGCACAATGTTAACACACACACACACACACACACACACACACACACACACACACACCAAACTCCTATCAATAATAAAAAAATAAAAATCCAACAGGGGCAACAACATCAAAGGGGCAAAAATGTGACAGATTTTTGTTTGCAAAGTGGGCCAACTCTTTGCTGGTGTGGACTGAAGCAGACTTTTCTCTGTCCTGTTAGCTAAAGGAGGGACTGACTGATGGCCGGAGTGGGATCAGAGCCACAAGGGACAAGAGTAGTACTGTTCAAACAGAGCTCTTTCCTGTTTTCACACCACAGAAGAATGGGAGAGACACACACAGAGAGGAAGAGAAACGTCCAAGAAATCAGCTATTTTCTGTCCGACAGAAAGTGTTTCTCCTTTACTTTTCCGCAGTTAAATAAAATGTAATGTGTAAAAGCCAGGCGGATGGAGTTTGGAAAAGGAAAAGAGGTTGTGGCTGAGCAGCAACCTGTTAAAAAACAAAAGTATTTTAACTGGAAACAATGAGACAAAGGGAGCTCAAACAGACACAGAGAAGCCTGCAAACAGATAAAGACAGATAAACCAAAAACAGCTCCGCTAAGCTGCAACACAAACCCAGCAGAGCTGCAGCTCCCAAACCCCAAAGAAAACATGCAGTCAGCAAACAGGACAGAATGAGAGAGTGGAAAATACCGTGGATGGGGAAACAGAAGCAGGCTGCTACAGAAAAAGACACTCGATCAGAGAGGGAAAAGCCGATTTGACGAACTTAACAAAACAGATAAGAGAAAACTCATCTGGGCTGTCTTACCTGAGAATTTGTCCCCCTCCATAACCAGATCACTCCCTCCACAGCCACATGTATCTCTGCTCTCTGACTCCCCTCTCTCTCTCTCTCTCTCTCTCTCTCTCTCTCTCTCTGTCTTTTTTTGGACTTCCCTTCCTCCCTCCCTCTTGTTCCTCTTCTTACTCTCTCTTTCCTCTCTCTCTCCCTCTCCCTGGTTTTGATTCCTTTAGTGTGTCTTGCTAATGAATCCAGAATTACGACATCCCCATGTGCTGATCATATGTTGCAGCTCTCCTTCTCCCTCTCTCACCCTTTTTTTCCCCCCCTCTGGTGACACCAAGACACTGAAGCAGCATTGTATCTTGAAAATAGAAAACCATTAGCCTCGCCATGTGACATGGAGCGGCTCCTTAAAGACTAAAATAACCAGCTGGACGAGCAGATTCTTCCCTCAGCTTACTCAAAAAGTTCCTTGTGTGAGCGTTCATTTGATACCGGCTGCAATCTCAGTCAGACATTCCCTGAACTCCGTCTAGACTTCCTGGAGATGAATCTTGACAGCTCTACCCTCTGTAAACGTGTGGAGGGATGATCGCGCTGTTGAAATAATACAGAAGTGCAAAAACAATACAAGAGGGAAGCGAAGGTGGAACTACGAAAACACACTTCCCAAAAGATGTTGAAAAACAGAAGAGTACTTGTGTCTGTGTTATTCTTCAGGATTCATGCCGGTAGGAGAGAATATTCCAGAAATAGAGGAGAGAGAGAGAGAGAGAGTGTGTGTGTGTGTGTGTGTGTGTGTGTGTGTGTGTGTGTGTGTGTGTGTGTGTGTGTGTTCAGGAAACTCATATGACCTTCAACCCTTGGCACGCCACTCACAATGCGCCAGGGGTCAGAGGTCTGATAGAGAGATCAAACACACTCAGACATGTCAGGCTGACGTCTTGTGCAACACACACACCGCTTTGGTGACAGTGTGGGGAGAAGCATGTGTTTGTGTGTTTATGTATGGCTATAAGTGTGTGTGTGTGTGTTTGTGTGTTTACATGCATCACCTTTATGTATCTGGCTTTTTAATTTAAACCAGCTGTTTCATTTTGAGGCAAATGTTGCACAGTGGCGACCCCTAAAGGCCGAGCTATGTTACTGTCTGTATCTCTCTCTCAGAAGTGAAGAAGACACGAGATGTGTACCATAGAAAGGAGATGCATTTTTCGGATGACATATTCCAATTGCGTCACGGCGGCTCGTCTAAGGCAAACAGAAACCTCTGCTGTCGATTATGAAGCCAACCGGGAAGCGCAGAAAAGCTGCATTTCCTCGATTTTCCACTAGAAGGTGCTGCAAAAAGTCCCTGGAAGTCACGTACACACCAAGAGCATGAGGGCCTGTTTTATAATTGTAGGAGTAGGAAGCAGAGCAGAAACGTATTGGGGAAAGTAAAAACATTTCAGAAGCATTAATGGGTGCGGACCTGAACCGTAAAAATTATCTGTTCTTCACTAGTTCCCGTCGCGTCATACTATTTTTGACGCTCTTGTCGATTCATTAAATTCAACGAGCTGTGAAGTCAAAACAGTCAACATTTCTCTTTTTCTTGTTTGAGATCCAAGCCAAAGGGCGACAGTTCACATAATTATAGTTGCTAATAATTACATTATTATTATTTCACAAATTTCTCATTAAATGTTTCAAAAGAAATAAAATGATAGCATTGTATCTGTGTAGGTGTATCAAATACAGTAGGACCGGCTGACTGCCAGATAGGATTTAACTCCACAGAGATAAACAATAGGGACAGTGTGCGTGTGTGTGTGTGTGTGTGTGTGTGTTTGTGTGTGTGTGTGTGTGTGTGTGTGTGTGTGTGTGTGTGTGTGTGTGTGTGTGTGTGTGTTGATGTACATAAACCAAGGTTACAGTAAAGCATCCTCCCAAACACCCGCCTGCTGACTCGTAAATCTGCATCGTTGGCAGATGTTTTGTGTGGTGCATCTGCCTCAAAATGCCAACGGGACACACTGCACACTGACACACACACACACACACACACACACACACACACACACACACACACCACACACACACACACACACACACACACACAAACACACACACACACGCCCTGTGGCTACAGCATCACGTCAGGGAGGTCTGCTGACATGCAGGGCCTTATCCTCAGCCTTAAGCACTTCCCAAACAACCTGTGTGTGAACGTGTCACTTCACTTTTATCTGCATGTTTCTGTCAAAGCTTGTGTGTGTTTCTGTGTGTACAGGTGTAAACTTACTTCCTATCTGTGTGTCACTTTGGTTCACAGACAGTAAATATAGTTCAAGATGCCCCTGCTGCAGAGAAAAACACTGTGACAAAAAGAAAATGATACAACTAAATGCAAAGAAGTTTTCAATTCTGTGTACACTCTCTCAAATAAGAGAAAAATAATCTCTCACTCTTACAGTTTCTCCAGTTCTTTAAAAAGTTTCTGATCACATTTTCACATGACAGGATCCATAATTCAGCTGTCCGGGTCATATTAAGTATATCTGTTACACTAGACTGGTTGCAGGAAGTCATTAGTTTTGTAATTAATAACCCTTACCCTTTGATAGTAATATACAAACACAACACACACTCACAGAAACACACACAAACCAGCGTACATTATGGGAATGTGTTTGTCGTCTCATCTCCTGTCAGCTGTCTGCAGGATGAATGAATACACAGCCCCGGGGCACATTTGTTCGTCCTGCACTCGTCTTGCTCGCTGAAGCATCGCAGATCACAACGACAAAGCTGACACAAACGGACGAGATCTCATGTTGCAGGTCACAGCTTGCTTTTTTTTATGGCTTTGATGCAACAGGCCGCTGCTAAACACATGTTGCCTCCCATGGTGAGTTTGTGTCTTCACATACAGTTAACGATCTGTGTGCAAACTAAGTACACACTGTAAGTGTTGTATGTGCGTGCTTGGAGCCCCTCCCCCCTCCTCTCTGTGTGCTCATGCTGCAGGTCTTTAGCTCCTCCAACTGGTAGAAGAACCACAAATCCAACAACAACTCATACATGTTTTCTGTTCTTTGTAGGACTCTCTGCCGTGTCTCTGAAACTGTTGTCTTCACAGTGATCTGATGTTTATCTGCTATCAGCTGATGTGTGGACAGAAAACACTACCCGACGTGCCCTCAGAGTTTCGTTGGCCCTCTTTGCTGAAGGTTAATGACACCGACTTTCTTAATACTTAACAGGAAAAGTGAGCGATCAAATAAAAGCTGGAGAGGCAGTGTGGACTTTGACAAAGACAGAATCTGGAGGCATAAATAAACACACACCGTCGGTCAGTTTCAGAATAAAAACATGAAAAGGCCAAACTAAAGACAAGAGTTGAAAATCAGCAAAAGCTTCAGACTTTGTGTGTTAAAGTTGACCTATTCTTCTGCTGTTCCTGATTTCAAAAACCCACACATAGTGTTACAATGCTGGATACCCAAACTAAACATGGGCAAAGTTTCAGATCAGGAGGTAAACGTGTGTTCCCCCTGTAATCCCAGGATGAGTCTGCAGAGGGCGTAAAAGAGCTTGTTCAATATGTGATAGTTCCCCCAAATGAAACCAAGGATTTCACAAGACGACTTCAAGCCTCTATGTAAAACCTCTTACATAGGCTCTCTACTCTCCCAGCTCTGGAGAGCACCCCTCCTCTGGCAGCCCTGCAGCCTTCTGCCCCCTCCCCCCCCCAAAGGCTTCCAGAGAGCTGACCAATCAGAGGCAAATGGGCACATGGGGAGAGCGAGGCCTTAAAGAGACATCAGCTGACATGAAGGTTTCACAGACTGACAACATGAGAGGTGAACATAAGGGGAATATGAGATCTTTAATCATCCTTATCAATTAATATAACATTCTAATTTAAATGTGGATGCTTCATGTGTGTTTGCATTGCTTTTGTAAGATGATGGAGGTGCAGTGTACTTACTGGGACTGGTGATGCCCGATACCTCTCGTTCTGTTCTCTTCGCCCGAGCGCTGGCTGATCTCACTGTGAACGGAGAAGGAGGAAAAACGTGTTAATTCTTCAGGAGAATCATCAGATGTGACATTGAACATTTAGGAACAAGAAGCTCGGTCTTAGGAAAAAGTGTTGGATTCAAAAAAACAATATGAAGCCTCAAGCTGAAAACAGTTACTTCTTGTTTTGTTTGAGGTAAAAGTGTATACTTTCAAAAACACAGTGAGCCAGTGTTTAAAATATCCTTATTAATGTTTGACCACTTAGAAACTAAAGTAAGTTTTATAACCACCTCATACAGGAACAAAGACTTCTGTTATTATCAAGCACATCCTATCTGTCACTTTCAACCCTGCTCTTAATCCTCTCATCCAGGATCACCTCTGGCTCCAGAAACCCAATGTGCGGACGGCCAAAATGCCGACCTCAAGCTTGAAAAAGGCAGTGAACCAACCACTTGGTAATGTCACGATGGCTGCCACCATAATTTATTCAATCTGTGGTTACGAGAAAAAAATGGACACATAACTGTTGCCGTCTATTGACTACAAATGGGTTGAATTAAGGAGAGCTGTTTTTTGTTTAACAAGACTGCATGAAGCTGGCTCTCTCTTTACTCCTTATTGTCTTTTCTCCATTCCACCGTTTGACTCCAGCATTGTTCTGAGCAGCACGGAACGAGCTACATTCATATGGTGGCTGATGACTCAGTCATGTCATCCTGTTTTGACGTTCTTAGAAATACTTCTCACTGCAATGCAGAGATCAACATTCATTTTCTCCCTATAAAGCTGACAAACAACGTGGTTTCCCTCCTGTGTTGTCATCAGATTAAACACAGCTGGTTTAAAGGGGAGGGAGTGACCATGGCTGACTGGAGGATGTGAGTAAAGCCTCTATAATGTGTGTGTGCTCTTGTGTGTGTGTTAAATGAATATAGAGACACCTACTGTAAAGATAGACACTTTTAAAAGCAAGCATTGTAAACTAAATGGGTGCTGCAGTCCAAGTTCAAAACATTGGAGAGGGTCTGTCTCCCCCTGCAGCAAATATCACATCGTACTGATAATAGATTAGTGCATCAATTTAATCGGGTTGTAGCACAAATTGGTGTTTTGCATAGAAATTGTGCAGAACATGTAATTGAAAAAGGAACAAAAACTTCTTTTTATGCACAAGCTTTTTGCATGAACTCATCTCAACTTCTCTTTGAGCTTTTGAGAAAGTCTCTGTAGGATTTGTAGGAGGGAAACATGTGAGAGCGTGCAGGAGGCTTTAAATAAAAAGGAGGGTTTTTTTTTTAATTCATGTAATAAAAAGATAAGCAGTTAAATGAATTGGCTGGAGTGTTTGTGTTCTGGTCACAATAACCTTCATCACTCTCTGTCTCTAGCAGTTCAAGCAGCTTGTTGAAAAAAGGAACCCAGCGGTACAGAAACATGTCAAACTGATCTCCTGCTTTGTGCAGGATTTCTGAGCCCCCTTCAAAACTGGTTAACATCAATTTCAAAACTCTTTTCCAAAATGTCAGACTTATTACAAACAGTTTACCAGAAAATGTATGAAAATGTCTGTTTCAGTTGTTTCTGGCGTCATGCAGGAGGAAGTTCTGACTCATTCTTCAGACTTTTTGATATATCACTGCAAAAGTTGAAACTGTTGACCCGTTTTTTTCTTTCTCTAAGTGCAGAACATCAATCTCCCATGAGCCCTGTGATGACACCACCGGTCTATTATGTGAGCGTGGTATATTTTCTACCTGTGTTTTAGAGCTTTAAGTGCATGGAAAAATGACAGAGCAAATAAAAAGACAGCCAGGTCTTTCAAGCCTCGCAGCCAAAAAACATGTCTGTGCCTATTTACTCTTGTGGAGGGGGAAAACGGTGAGAGAGCGGTGAGGGAAACACACACACACAACCCCACACACACACACGTCCTTGCAACACAAAAAGCGTCACACAGAGAGCAAGAAAAGTTTACAGTTGCAACAGAACAATGTGCCACACAGGTGAGTGTTGCTACGAGGGTGTTTGGCGGTGCAGTGACATGATTCAGGTGTTGCCGGTAGCTGTGTGGTTTGAAACGAGGGTGAAGCACTGACAGACACGAACAGACGTCGGCCAATCACAGCGGGTTTTCAATACAAACTCAAGGAGTGACATCTGCAAAGTTAAACTGTTTGTTTGCACAAAGACTTCATGTGTGTCCACATGAAGTCTCACCTGCTCGGTCTTGTCTGAGGCCACACAAACACACACTCATGCACCCACCCACACACACTCATACACACGCACACACACACAATTCACTGCTTGAACAGGTTTCATAAAAATCTCCAGACACGATGATCCGCGTCTTTTTCCCTCCTTTAAGGCGATTTGTAATCCTCTGAGGTCATAGTTTCCTTCATGACACTGCTAACAGAGGTCACTGCACACTCATGATACATGACAAGAATTAAACCAGTGTTTATTTATGCTTTTTAAAAAAATCAACTTCGACTGCATGGGGCCACGAGTCATACTGTGCAACAGAGAAAGTGCATGACTGCTTGTGTATTTACTGTAGACTGTATAAATAATGGACAGAGCCTCGGTGATGACTTTTCTTTCTTTCTTTTGGAACCGACGAGTTCAGCATTTTGTGCATTACCAGGTCGCTTTTTTGGAGCCAGAAGTGACCAAATTTGGCGGATAATCTGCCGCTGCAGAGAAGAGAAGCTTGAAAATGTAATCAGTTTTTGTATCGATGAAATTATCATCAGTGAAAAAGATCGACAAACTTCTTGGATGTCCTGTAACATTTATTCAGTCTGGCATTTATCTAGGACTAAATATTTGTACAGTTCTATTTTTATTTTCTTAGTTTTTTTTATTATCACTTATTACTCTATTCTGCCTTAAAATTAACATTTCAGCGTTTACATTTGGAGATTAAGTCAATGGGGATTGACTCACTTATGGAATAAGCCTCAAGTGGCCACTAAAGGAACTGCACTTCTCTGCTTGATTTTTTTTTTCAGCACTGATTGATGCCAAGGCCAACACTGTGTGTGTGTGTGTGTGTGTGTGTGTGTGTGTGTGTGTGTGTGCGTGTGCGTGTGCGTGTGTGTGTAACATGACCGGTCAAGTGCCTGGACAAACGTGTCACCTGATTAGTGATTGGTCACAGGTGAGTTAAAAAAAGGTAAACACGGGGCGCAGCATGCAGCACTTCTACATACTTAGAGCACAAGAGAAATCACACAAACACACACATCATGAATGGATACTTGCAAACACACACACACACACACACACACACACACACACACACACACACACACACACACACACACTCACACACACATACACTCACACAAAGGCGGAGTGATTTGTAAAACATACATTATGATGCATGCTCCGTCTCTTTCACACACACAAAACTTCCTGAGATTTGTGTGTTTGCAGAAAAAGGTCACAGAGTGTCTTCTGAGAGCACAAGGACAGAATAAGAGTTTATTTACCTCCCTTTTCTCTTTTCATCATCCTCTACTTCCAACTGTCGTATTGACTGAACCATTAATCCTGTGCTTGGCAGCGTTGAGCTGCAGCTACATCGCTGTATGTGACAGATGTTCATTTTATACCCGATTCATAATAACTGCTGTCCTTTCATTCTGCCAAAATCTATCCTCACCAAACACTCTTTAAATCTTCTGTTCCACACTCCTGTTTGACACCATGTTTAGCTTTCTGTAGGATTAATGATAGTTTAATAGAAATGCTAAGCTTTGTAAACTCGGTCTGACTAAACAGAACAGAACAAAGTTCAAGGGGAAAACAAACTCTCTTTTTGATTAGTACGGAAGCGTAGTACATTCACATGAGAAAATAAAACGTTTTCTTTAATAAAAATCTGTTTTTCTGGGTTAACATGATAATAATCTTTGAATACGAGTTCCAGTGCACGTGTTTCTCTGCACAACATCGAGGTCTCCGTTGCATAATGGAAGCTTACTGCACTCAATTGAGACAATTCCTGAATCAAGATTTTTGTCATGGATTTACGAGTTACAAGGTGTTTGAATTTCATGGAAAATCACAGGTGCCTCAGTTGCACTCAGTGGGGATCCAGTATTTTAAACAGTCGCCTGATTGGCTTTGATCTTCACAATGAAAATGTAAAAGATGAATGACGGGGCTTTTTAAGTCAACAATTTAATCAAGTAAGATCTGATCTTGTGTCCCTGTGCTTAGAATTTTTTTGATCTCATGGTATGTGCTTTATAAGTTATAACATATCATTTATCACAATAAAGAAACTTTTTTTATTATTCCTGCAAAATATTATGAGAGGTCATCAAGTCTCTACAATAATGGATTAAGCTGCATCGTTTAACTTCACCTCCATAAAGGTTGGATGTAAAGGTTTGTTTTAAAAAAACCCACCTTTATCATGTATCCCAACTTTTCATCCAGTTAAAGCGAAAATGTAAACGTTACTAATCCTCCTCCTACACCTCTGCGTCTCTGCTTGCCCATCTGTTCCTTTGTGTGTTTACGGCCCTCATTACACATGTTGAGGGTATGCTGCAAACACGGCGTTACACAACTCTGCCTGTGAAAGAGCTCGGAGCGGATGGACGAGCAGAGAGAGGGGTGGGGGGGGGGGTGATAAAAGACAAAGAAAACAAGACACACTGAAGGGCTCGACGACTATTTGTCAAGATTGTTTTTACAGCTCAGATAAGAGCTTTACCTGGATGCGTTCTTAATGAGAAAGAACCACAGCGGGCACGCCCTCTCACACACACACACACACACACACACACACACACACACACACACTGACGGGCTTGTACACACACACGCTCACACATTACAGCCGAGGAAAGACATTGACCTTGACCCTGAACTGCACTCCTCCCAAATGAATAGCGCTCGTTCTGGCGCCAAAAGGTATGAAACGACAACACCTTTTCCTACCGCCGCACTTTCAACACGCACCGATTCCTCACTCAGCACGCTCACTGAAAACCAACACGACTC